TAATGCGGGGTCCGGCCAACGAAGGTGGACTGCGGGTGAACCTAGATCGATAAGATGAGTGGTCAACCCGTTGGCTTCTACGGTTCGACGTAAGTTAGTGTAGCACACTTTGCCCAGGCAACGCAGCCAGTGCTGACAGCAAAAGAGACTGTCTTCTTGACGGTGCAGCTTTACGAGGCCTCAAAGCCCAAAGGGACCTCGATGTGCTGCCAACGGTCTCCCTATAACTGTTCACCTATTGTTAAAGAGTCGAAAATGCGCAATGTCGTACCGTAAGCCATCAAGTGGACATTTATGGATTTTGATGAAGACGTTTTCTCAACGATTTTCGGAACATTCGTGCGGCCGCACTTAGGATACGACATATAAGCCAGCAGGCCGTGGGTAGTTCAGTCTCTAAATAACCTTGAAGGAGTCTAGAGGAGAGCCATGAAAATGGTTAGGGGTCAAAACTCCTTTCTTTATGCGACCCGCCTAACAAATCTGAACCTCGTCCCTTTGAGTGATAGGCAATTGCGCGGGATCTCTTGCAAGCATTCTATATTGGGAAGGGATTGGACTGCAGCGTGGCCTTTGCGGACTTTTTTGAATTTGTTTTCATGACAAAACTTCGAGGTCGTCCGTTAAAAATCCGCATTCAGCAAGCGAGACTGGACGTGTCGAAATTCTCCTTCTCTGGCAGAGTGGTTAAACGACGGAATGTTCTCCACGCACATATTGTGATTTGATCATCGATACAATTAGCAAAAAGAATTCTGACATATTTTTGTTCCGAAATTAACAAGAACGATGAGAGATCGAGTCTATCCCCAAGGCCAACATCCAATTTGCCATCCTATTATGGACCCGTTTGAATTATTTCAGCCCAGATAATTTCTCTATACACCGCACAAAACTTTAGATGAATATATGGTTCTCAAAGCTCACACATATTTCCCTCGATAAACTGAGATGAACCGAAAAAGACTGTCAAATGGTCTTATCGCGACTCATAATGCACTCATTATGGTGTACGGTGTAAATGTTAAGCTGTTCCTTCGAAGCAACCACATCCTCAGTCTCCGGCATCTCTTAATAGTTTGATCGTGTTACATGTGGGCTTGCAATTTAAGTAGTTGACTTTAAGCAATAGAACAGTCTATCAATGAAATACGTTTGCGATGATGGTAGTTACAGCACTGAAGTATGCAATACTCATGGAACGTTTTCATTGCATAATGAAGTCTGGACTGGCCAAATATTTTTCGCCTCCAGTTTCTATGTGCTGATGTTCGGTTGACGCTTGTGTTACTCGTTCTAGTGCTTTTCTGTGCCAGTAGTTGACTCTTTTACTATTATTTTTGTTCCAAGATAATTCTCTTTTTTTTACTTTTGTCATGTTTTTTTAAGAAGTTGTGGATGCCACTCAGATATTTACAAGTTTCGTTATGCAGCTGCATATTCCAGTGTCTTCTGACGCAATAATACCCACCTGCCTACAACATTTCTATATGTTCTCTTCGCAGAGTTATGACTAGTTAGGTTTTACCTTGCATGCGGCCAATATCCAGCCTTCCACTTTTCTATATTTCTGCTCGGCTCGTAAATGCCCTGCTTGAATTTATCAGCGTCCTATTTCTTGCGGAAAGGTGCTGTATATTTCATTGTCTTGGAGAGCAAATTAAAACTTAAGGATCGAACGCAAGACTACTTTTAAATTACGAACATATTTGAGCAATACTCTTTTCTTCTGTCAATAGTTACTTGGCAAAGGAAATTTAAGGGGAGTTGGTACGTTCATTTAGAAGGGGAAATATTCCAAAGCATCCCAGTTCTTAGGTTAATGTATTTTGAAACTTCTTCCTACATTTCTGCTGAATATCCTCGCAAACTCCACCCTACTACGGTTAGGGGGCAAAGACCGGCTGCCGTTACAGGTCACATCCATGTGTATTTATTCATTCACCTGCTCCTGTGGAGCGGGATCTATTGGCCGTACAACGAGGCATCTGGAAAAGAGAATACGCGAACACATTCCTGCCCGGCTAGGTAGAGGTGAAATTCGATCGATTTCGAGTTCAATTCTCGCACATCTAATCAATACGAACCACCAATCCGACGCTAAAGAAGCCTTTAAAGTTATCTATCGGGCACCGGCACACTATTCTAAAGGCCTGCGCAAACGTGTGCTAGCCACAGCCAAAACACTAGCCGTTCGACTAGCGAACCCAATTCTCTGTTGTCAGAAGATGCTGACACGAGCAGTCTGTCTGCCCTGGCCGACTCCTGATGATGACCGTCCGTCGTCTCGACGCAATGAAGCAGTCACACGCACTTACAGCGTCTACAATCTAACCGGAACCCCTCTCCTTCTCCCTCCCACCCCAACTCCATCGTCCTCAACACGCTGACTCCGTCATGCGGGCGGCGTGGGAACATAAAGTCCGATTAACCCTGCCTCTGAGACGCATTTATAACCTGTCTACAATTAGAATGATCATTACCCATGTAAATGTATCGGCCTGATGATGACTTATCGAAAGCGTATGTTCGCCAACTGACTTTTCAATTATAATATGGGAATTTTCGCAGAGTATCCCACTGATCAGCCTGCGCTCCACGTCTGTGCACATTCTAACGAAGAAGGCAAAAGCATATTAAAAAGTCTGTTATTTCCGGATAGATCTTGTACCTTTACTACCGGCTGACAAAACTGACCTAGAGAGCCATCGACCGATGGAAGAGATTGTTCTACTGAACTGGCTTCCCAGATTCAAACGTGGTGGGTTGCGCCGATCCCTGATGCTTTGTGGCGGAAGCTATTGCAAACTGCACAAATGCCGTGTATTGCACTTTCTTTCGCCTTCTTGCGTCAGGCTTTTCTGCATTGAATGCAACGCAGTGAGTTTTTCTACTAGACTACGTGGCTTGTCATGTCTACTAAGCCCTTTTTGCTCCCGCCTGGCGTCATGTCTAGTCTACCACATTTTACGTAATTTAACTGGAGTATTTTATCAGGCTTAACGAAACTTAGCTTCCTAGTCTGGTCATCGTCCCGTCCTCTCGACTACACTACCACTAACTCGGACCCTATGTCATTTTTTCCCATTCATTATGAGTCGTCGAGAGTTCCCGGGTAGGGCACACCCATGGTACTACCGATTTAAAACTGCCCACGGAGATGAGCGCGGGAGGTATTTTGAAATTTAGATCCAGTGCCAGTGACTTAAATGGTAGGAGACGTTTACCAGCAAAGTTCTCGGCCACCACGAAAATCCACGGACCTGATGCCCTGTCAGTCCTTACCCAATGGAATCTCAAAAAGGCCTCTAGTATTGACAGGTGGGGCTGGATGGGGTTTGCTAAATTCCAGTCTAACTTCATCGGGTTTTCCAGGCGATGTGAGACCTTGCCTGCCTCACAGGTCAGATAGCAGGCTTAAGTGGTCAGAAGTGCATTTTCCTGTTGACACATTTATTGGTATTGCTGAAAGTGACCTCAATAGCAACACATTTGATAACGGGTTGGGGTTATAATCTGAGCGGGAGGAAGCAGGTTGAAGGATGAATTTAACACTGATATGCACGGTGGTAGAAGAGACACTGCATGGAATAGAACAGACTGGGATGACATGTTGTGTCAAGTCCTTTCCTAAGACCCTTGAAGCGTTTTGCAACTGACAGACTTGAATGAAATAATACGATTGACTGATAGACGAGGGACCGCGCACATTTGGAACAATCCAACCTTCGTGGACCTTGGCCGTATGATCACACCGTTTGTATACCATTACCAGGACGAGCTTGAGATTAAAACTGTCCGGCATTTCAAGCAAGTTCTAGCTAGTGGAAATAATTGTCAAAGAGAGTGGATTCCTAATGTGTGATAGGCAAACCTTGAGGTTTTTAAACAAGTGAAATGGTTTCTCGTAAAGCTTAACTCAAGCGCTCAACCTGTCCACTTGCTTGGGTATCGTATGGAGTTTTCCTGCTAGTTGCCGTCCTTTTACCACGGGCTTCTGAACGTCGTTTGACATAGACAACAATCGCCTGTCGGTGTGGATGTACAAAGGAATACCGAATATGAAGAAGAGCTGGCACAAACATCTAATGGCAGGCTCGACAGCCAGATCAGGACAGGAAAATACAGTTGCACTGGAGACCGTCTCATCTTCCTGACTTTAACCTTGTCATTTTTACCTTACCCTTTTGTTGACTACCGTAGGTAAAGGCAACAGAATGGTAGTCTGTATTGAGTTAAAACGATTACGGGGGAGAAAGTGCTACCATTTGCCTATGATATCCCTAACTGTATCTTTTTTTACGCGTGACGATCTCCGGTAGCAGGTCTTGCCAGTTCAAACCGTTTCCTTTGCCAACGACGGAGACCGGGTATCGAAGGTCTAAGAACTACCACCGCCTCTTGACGAACTGTGCCTAACCAGGCTTTGAGTTGACCCCCTCTTCGACGCCTCCAATGGGGTAGTGGTGCCAGATCGAAGGCAGTAGTACTGAGCCCCTGAGGTGAACGACGAACATGCCCAAATCACCTCAGTCGTCTTTCTTGGATGGCCTGGGTTAGCCTTGCAATGTTGTCGCAACGAGCGCCGACTGTCCCATTTGAGACGAGGTGAGTATGTTTCACTCGAAGGATGGTCTTCAAGCAGTGGTGGTCAAATACCTCCAGTTTTCACACATTCTCCACGCTCACAACCCAGCGTTCACAACCATAGAGAAGGACAGACCGGACGAATGCATGGTACACACGATCTTATCAGTGATGGGGATGTTGCGTCGGATCCATAAGCATTTTCTAGGACCTGAGAAAACTCACCGGGCACCATCAATTCGGGAGACAATGTCGCCCTTGCTCTGCCCATTCCTCAGAAGCCTCTCCCCGAGGTATTTAAAACTGTCTACTTCATCAAGTTGACAGCCATAAATCTGGAGAGGTACCTTCTCCTGGTCAGTGATGCAGTTTGAAAACTAGTCCTCCCAGCGTTGGCGGATAAACCGATCGATTTAGCGACCCCGTTCACCCTTGACACCTGAGGCAAGTAAGGCGATGTCATCGGCATAGTTGAGATCAGTCAGTCGGTGTCCGGGTACAAACTCAACATCGTCACCTTCGTGTAGGGTCCGCCCGAGAATCCAGTCAATAGCGTAGTAGAACAGGATGGGCGACAGGATACAACCCTCTCGAACGCCAGAACGAATACCGAACGGTTGGAAAAGATTGTTGCTGACCAGAACTCGCATAGTGGTAGAGCGGTAATAGGCCTTGATCATGGCAATGACTTTTGTCGGTACACCTACTAGTGCCATTATCCGCCACAGGGACTCACGATGGACAGAATCGAACGCGCGACCCGCTCCTTGCTGAGGAAACGTGAAGTGGGACACATGCAGGCCCCGCCTACCTGCATTACTTTTTTTCCTCGTCCTTGAGGACTGATATCCGCACGGATCTAAATACTCACACGATCTACTTATTTACTGCTTCTGGGAATCAGTCTTTTCGATAGCTGCTATGGCAGAGGCTTGGGGAAGAAGTACATTTACTGTTTTCTCACCAACTTCGCCATGATGCAGCATGATAGTCAGCAACCAGGTGAGTTAAGTCTTCCGCAGTTGTTCTCTTCGGCTGAATTTGACCGACAAATACTTACTTCCAGTAAGTGGTCTACATACTTCCATTTTTATATCAGAAAAGTAAACCAGACACCCCGCGTGACTAGGGAGACTTGTTAGAATACTGCGGTCGGGCTTTGTAACTCAGGTTTTTAGAGTGCTGGCTGAACTCAAGCCTTGCCCTTGCTGTTGTGTCCGGATTCTGTCAAACCCGCCGAGTTATTCACAATTAGGCTAAGTGGATTATCCAAATTTTCAAAAACTCATTAAATCGTTATTTCCTTAACTTTCTCCGCCTTCATTGCATATATATGCACTTGTTGTCCATCATTCACTTAGCAGCGTACCTGTAAGTAGAAATAACGCCGCCCTGTTTGCAGACTGCCTACTAATGGATAGATATCAGCCTGATATGTTCCCCAACCGGCCTAGTCACTAGCTCATTACTGTACCCTGGCAGGGCCTCTTCATCGAGCCGACCTGAGAAGACACCCAACGATCACCGAAACCTGTTGCGTCAGAGATTCCAGCCCACGTCTTAGTGGTTCCCGAATGACAGGCCTTCTTTTGTTGATTCGCAGTATCATCTGACCTTATGCCGTGTGTGTTAGCTTTACTCGCGAATTGGCCATGTTGGGCTGCACATCTAAGCTCCGTTTTCAAAGTCGAAAATCAGGGTGGTGGGCAAACCAGTCAACCGCCCGGCTTTGTTTCGTGTTCAGCTTCTTAGATGCGTTTGATCTATTTCCCCCAGTTCCAGTCAAAAACTGTCGTTGCTTGCTGTTGATTGGTTGGCACGACGATCATTGGTTTAATCAGCAAACCGATCATCACTGCCAGCCGCAGTGTTGAGTGCTTGCTGGCGCAAGTAGGTGGGCCAGTGCGGAGCACAACCGACGTCCTAATGACCGTCCAAATGTGGTGGTTTGCTAGAAAGAGCCTACAGTGACAGAAGTTCTTCATCGAATACCCGTAACAACTACCTTCTAATTATTAGTCAGCGACTCACTATTTAATCGAGCGGACAACGGTGGCGTACAAAGCCTTTTGCGCACATCAGCTTCCCAAAGTTAGTGGTCAGTGGTAACCTACCCATACCGACGTGGCGTATTTAGGGTTGCGCTTCCTTATTGGCTGGTTCTTCGTGTGGGAACACGGGTAAGGTGCCTCCGAGAACGGACGTGCGGGCAGGCATACGCTGGACATCCAGGAGAGAATGGGGCCATGGGACGCTGTGAAAAACGGTGAGTAACTCGATTACCAGCGAAGGCCTTCTTTAACGTTCGCATTGCCATGCTACGTCCACCTGGACTTCCTTGGAGTTACTCGATTAATTTTTATTCCTCGTCGCACTTGCTTAACGCGACCTTCTCCAATCCATTCTCCACGTTTTTTTTTCATCTAATCCAGAAGCGCACCTGTAGCTCTTGGATGCATTTCAAGTTTTCAATCTAGTCTCTTATAGTCGACTGAATTATACCTCTTTAATTTCCTTTATGACTCCTTGTGTACCCATTTCGCCATCGCGAGAACGCAGCAGTGGCTCATCCGAAGGAAAGGTCAGCGACGACTCATGAAAGCCGAGGCTGGTTAAGGCTTTGGATATCAATGATGATTGTTATCAGTAGGAGGACGCTCAGAATTAATAGAGTCCGTCGTGGGTAGACTAGAGAGGGGTATTACTGCATTCAGTGATGCATTCGTGGTATTGGTGTCGGCACCTACCGTTACGGTGCCTGACGTCCTGCTGCCTCAAGGTCATTCGCCTTCGCGGCGGGCTGTTCCAGACTCGCTGACCTGCAGCCACTCGGCCACACGTGCAACCAGACAGTTGCGGCCCCCATGGGCCACCTTATCACTCTACCCCTCGGCCAATGCAACATATCACTAGACCCGCTTCCCCCAGGCAAAAATCCAACACATATCAAATGGACAGCACTTGAATCCACTCCACAATCCTCTTAAAGCAGCTGACAACACTCTGTCCGGTATGACTGAAAACAGTCTACACTGGCCTTGGCTTCGCCAGCGGTCACTGCTGTCTGAGACAGCAACTCAGAGGTCTGTGCACAATAAATTCTTCCTTCTGGTGCCTCCTGTCTTATACTGCTACTTATGAGCTTGTCCTGATGAGTACTCACGCCCTACTGGTTAGACGCCACAGTAGCATGCAGTCACCACACATGAATTCACGGCAACACTTAGCAAACCCTTATTGGGCTGTGTATTTTGGAGGGACAGGAGAGCTGAGAGTCAGGCCTCAACGACTCCGCCCGAATGTAGCCTTTAGGGCACTTTCACGCAAGTGAGACCCGAACCGTTTTTACGGAGCGACCCCGCACTTGTAATGTCGACCGGGTCGCGTCTGTGGCACGTGTAGAGCGCCCTGTAAAACGGGCCACGCGATAGATGCGCCGGACCAACAGAAGGGGGGGGGGCTAGATCGGAGATCGGCAGGCATTATCGGGAATGCGCACTCCATAACAAATGCCAACATTGGGATGTGGTGGCAAGTCCAGCTGTGGGCTCACGCCGCACTCATTGGGATCCAGGCCGTCACGTGTTGACGGGCTATTTAGTTTTATCAACCACTGTGCCCGCGCTCACATCTGGTCGTTTTAATACCGTCCTGTCACTGTAGTTAGTCGGAGGACGAAATAAAGGATGCGGTTGATGCTTCGCAAGTCTGCCTCACTATGAACTATTTTGCGCGTGAATCACCGCTGTTTGGGCCACTCGGTGGGACGGGCGGTGGACGTCGCCGTTTGTGACTGTCGAAATGTAGCGTCGGCACGCCAAAAAAGCTCCCCAGACCTACAGGTGATGTGTAGCTAGCCTTGGGACGCACTGCACGCTCCATCCTTCTGCAAAATTAATTCACCCCGGCTGACAAGGTGTAGCAGTCATTCAATTTGGTGAGCAGCAGGATACCTTGTGGAGGCTGATCATCGTTCGGGCGCGTCGTTGTCAGTGATTCACAGTCTCGTCTTTTCACCCGACCTTTTCTTTAGTGTTTATATTTGTACTACGACTGACTTCACAGCAAAATCAAGTGAGGTAAAAATGGCATTAGGCAGAGACGGTTTTCATTCTGACAAGGCTCATTCTCCGAATACTACTGGAGCTTACTAAGGCCATTTATTTGAGCGCCACGAACCCCGATGAACTTCAGTTTACAAGGTCTTGGGCCATTTTATTGATACTGAATTCATTAAGTGGTTTCACCGCATCGAACAGCAGCAAAATTTTCGTCCTACGCTATTTTAAATTAAGCAGAAATTGTGTGTTAGTGAGTCAGGCCGCAGTTATAAACAAGCGACGATCAACCCGGAAAGTATAGAGTTAAAGTACTCAAGTCGAACCCTAGCGAGCCCCGACCTCACGGCGAGTATAAATGTCCGAGTGCTCCGGCCGATCATAACGTGCTGTGGTCTTCACCAGACCTCGAAGGTCTGGCAGTCATCGAGGACCAGGACCCGAAACCCCCCCCCCACTCCCGGCACTAAACGTTAGCTAACTCTCACGCCTGGATCGG